TCTGTCCCAAAAATAAATAAAAAAAAAAGTTGGAAAAAAAAAAAAAAGCTTTGATTTTTTAAAACAATTTGTCTTATTAACTTGTAAAAGGGGAATCATAATCATCTGAAGAGCCCAATAGTCTTGTTTCTTTGTTTGTTTCCTTTGGGGAGGCGAAAATGTCAGAACAAAACATGCCTTGGTGATGTGACTTAAATTTTAAGAAACATGTTTTGGGGCGCCTGGGTGGTGCAGTCAGTTAAGTGTCAGACTCTTGATTTTGGCTCAGGTCATGACCTCTTGGTCATGAGATGGAGCCCTGATGAGCGTGGAGCCTGCTTGAAAATCTCTCTCTCCCTCTGTCCCTTTCCCTCACTCATGTGGGCTCTCTTTCTGAAAAGAAAAAAAGAAAGAAACATCTTTCAGAAAAAAAGAACTATTTCTTATAAAAGCATTTTTTCCCCTGATTCTAAGCAATTGTCTTAGGCCTAGAAGTTAAAGTTTCTCTTGCAGATGTCAAGTCTTTCTGATCACAAGAGCCTTTACTACTCTGTTTGAATGAAAAGAAACCCCAGAATCACAACTCTGCCATTTGAGCAATTTAATTTTAGTAGGAACTTACTTAAATTTGATTAATAATTTTTAATTTTTCTGTTACCTTCTCAAGCTCAAAGCACAAATGTTCACGGCACATCATTGATAAGCCAATGCTCAGAGAGATGTTCTCCTCTCTGTATAGAATTCTGGTCGGTATTGGGCAAAAACACATACTAGTTTCAGTAGCCTTTTTTTTTTTTTTTTTTTAATTTTTTTTTCTTCAACGTTTATTTTTTTTTGGGACAGAGAGAGACAGAGCATGAACGGGGGAGGGGCAGAGAGAGAGGGAGACACAGAATCGGAAACAGGCTCCAGGCTCTGAGCCATCAGCCCAGGTCGGGCTCGAACTCACGGACCGCGAGATCGTGACCTGGCTGAAGTCGGACGCTTAACCGACTGCGCCACCCAGGCGCCCCTCAGTAGCCTTTTTATTTTTTTTATTATTTTTTTTTAACGTTTTTTTTATTTTTATTTTTGGGACAGAGAGAGACAGAGCATGAACGGGGGAGGGGCAGAGAGAGAAGGAGACACAGAATCGGAAACAGGCTCCAGGCTCTGAGCCGTCAGCCCAGAGCCTGACGCGGGGCTCGAACTCCCGGACCGCGAGATCGTGACCTGGCTGAAGTCGGATGCTTAACCGACTGCGCCACCCAGGCGCCCCCCTCAGTAGCCTTTTTAAAGAACATTTTTAGAGGGGCACCTGGGTGGCTCAGTTGCTTAAGTGTCCAACTTCAGCTCAGGTCATAATCTCATGGTCCATGAGTTTGAGCCCTGCGTCGGGCTCTGTGCTGACAGCTCAGAGCCTGGAGCCTGCTTCCGATTCTGTGTCTCCCTCTCTCTCTCTGCCCCTCTCCCACTTGCGCTCTCTTTCTCTCTCTCTCTGGGCGCCTGAGTGGCTCAGTTGGTTAAGTGTCTGACTCTTGATTTCAGCTTAGGTGATGATCTCATGGTTTCATGGGTTGGAGCCCTGCATCAGGCTCTGTGCTGACCATGCGAGGAGTCTGCTTAGGATTCTCAGTCTCTCTCTCTCTCTGCCCCCCTTCCCTGCCTGTGCTCTCTCTAAAAATAAATAACTATATATATGAAATTGTTCAGATTAGCCAATGCTAAGCTGTTTACTCTGCCCTGCCTTGTTTTTCCTACAGAAACTTTGGTAAAGTCTATGGACTCAGCTCTCCCCTCACTCTTGTCCCTTTTGCCTCTTAACGGACACTGGCGCTTTCCCGTGTGACCCTGCATGGTGTGCTCTGTCTCCTGAGTCTCCAGGACTTGTGAGTATAATAAACATTGTTTTCCTGAGCCTTTCCTGTCTTTTCTTCTGTAGCCACACCTGACTTCACTTAATAGAACCCAGAACATAGCTTTGGTGATGGAATATGTGGAAGGAGGACCAACAAGACTCTGTAGCAAGTAGTGATCTGTCTCCAAGTGGATCTGTCCAGGTGGGTCCATTTTCTCTCTCAACATCACAAGATGATCCTTTCAATATGTGACTCACCATGGCTTTCATTTATTGTAAAGATCACTAAGGTACCTTTAAGAATTAGCGTTCTTATGAATGGGGGTTTATGTATTAAAGTTGGCTATGCTTTTCTTGGAGGTGCTCTTAATATGTTCAGAAAACCAAGACCTCTCTAGAACCTAAAAGAAAAAAGATGCCTGATGTACCTCCATCCCAAGAGTCTTACATCTCCTGAGGCCCAGAACTTAGGTCAAAGGAATGTGGCTAAGTTTTAGTTTTTTCACTCTTGGCAGAACTAAGAGCTATCCCCAAAGGACAACCTAATCTACCCTTAACACCTGCCCCTAAGGAATGCCCATGCCTTGCTATAGCATTCTTCCTGGGATCCCTAGCAGGACCCAGTACTGTGCAACCTGACCATATCTCCTACTTGGTGTCAGGAAAGCACATCACCTCCAACTCTGGCCCAAGAGGGGCTGGACTCTAAGCCACTCATCCAGTGACTTAAATCTGCCTTCATGAAAATTACCCTTGAGACCCTTCTTTTGGGCTGCCCCATTGGAAAGCCCAACCACTTGGCCCATAAAGTCCACAGGCCTCTATTTCCAGGAATCAGTTGCACATGCTCTACTTTGGACCAGTGCAGCCTCACACGGGCTAAGATAGATGGAAGGACTAAAGGTTTCATTTTTCTTTCTTTTTTTCTTTTTTTTTTTTTTTAGTTCTGGAGACATCTTTCATAGATACTTTCATAGGCAACTCAAGCAGCTGTGGACTTGGGCTTTGGCACACACAGCGGTCTGTGGGAAGCATTACTATAGTACCCAGGACTGTGGAAACCATGACAGGAGGCATGCATTATGGCCCTGAGACATCTACCCTCCTACCTGTTGGTTAAATTACTTGCTACCCCAGAGAAAACCGCACTCCCTCCCACAAAGAACCTTGTTCTTCATTAATACAGATCCAGGTGCCATACTGAGAGTTGGAGAAGAGACATGTTTGTTCTACACAGTGGTGTCCAATAAATCAGGGTGTTGTGGATACACTTTGTATCTGAAGCAATGCTTTCAAGTTATACCTTGTTCTTGAAGCTCATCTGTGTTCCTGTTAGTCCCAGGAGGTTAGGGGGCTGAAAAGAGTAATAAAGACTGTGGGGAGCTTCTAAAAAATCACTGAGGAAATATATAGTAATTATAAGAAAATACATATTTTAAAAAGGTAAATAAGTTGCCCTTTATTCCAGCATCCAGAAATAGCCACTGCTAACAAAAGTATCCTTCCTAATTTCTTACACATATGCAACTAGAAGACAACAGTGCTTACCTGCCCAGAGGCTCACCCTCACCAGAGGATGAGTCTGTCAACTGCTGACTTTCTTACAGAGAAGTTGGCAGGAGAGGAAGCCCTGCAAAAGAGAGGCTGCGTGGTTCAGGCTCACGCGTGTGGCTCTGGCAATTATCAGGCTGTGAATCCCTGCTTTTCGACTGATTACCTGTGTGACCTTGGAGAAGTTACTTAACCTCTCTGTGTTTCACTGTCCTTACATCAAGGATGGAGATAATATCTGTACCCAAAGGATTTAAATGCACTAATATAGATGTGGTTGGAAAGGCATCTGGTACACGGAAAGTGGTCGACAATTTTGTTATTGCTATTGCTATTAAGAATTTAACCTAGTTTAATAGGGTAAAAGAAGATGGTAATTTCACAACACCTGCTGGTTCTCTGAGCAGCTGAGAGTGACAGGCTCATTGTCTGTGAAGGCTTTATTTCTTACCCACACATGGGCATCTTGGCATGTGTGTGTGTGTGTGTGTGTGTGTGTGTGTGTGAAGATGTGCACTGGGAAGGATCAAAGATGGAGTGCTTTCTTTGAGAGGAGGAAGTAAAAGGTAGATTTTAAGACAAGAAAGCAAGACTAGCATCCCTGTAGAAGGGTTCTTTTTTTTCCTTTTCCTTGGCCTTTGGGAACCATCATATTTAGTATCCAATTTGAGGATCCTCCACCATATTGTAATTCCCTCTAGTTACCCCAAGCCTTCAGTAAACCCTTTACACAGAGCTGGTAGGGGACTTGGTCTGGACAGGAAAGGGTTTGGGTTCCTATCCTCCCTCCATTCCCTATTGCTTCTGCCATGCTGGAGGGAGAGGCAGGGAAGCCAATACACCAAGAATAACTTTTGCCAGTGTTTGAATTCTATTCCCTTAGTAAGTATTCAGATGATAAATACTCTCTCCCTTCTTCTGTGTTTCAAGAGAAATACATTGCTAAACCCTTCTTTCAGAAATTATATCCCTCCCTCTCTTTTCTCTCCTCCACTTTAACGTGGCCAGTTAGCAACTCTCATCCTCTCAAGTATAAAATTCCCCAAAAATGATTTCTTTAGAAAAAATTTTTTATTTTTATTTATTATTTTTTAGAGAGAGGGTGTGAGTTGGGGAGAGGGGCAGAGGTAGAGAGAGAGGGAATCTTTTTTTTTTTTTTAATTTTTTTTTTCAACGTTTATTTATTTTTGGGAGAGAGACAGAGCATGAACGGGGGAGGGGCAGAGAGAGAGGGAGACACAGAATCGGAAACAGGCTCCAGGCTCTGAGCCATCAGCCCAGAGCCCGACGCGGGGCTCGAACTCACGGACCGCGAGATCGTGACCTGGCTGAAGTCAGACGCTTAACCGACTGCGCCACCCAGGTGCCCCGAGAGAGAGGGAATCTTAAGCAGACTCCAAACTCAGCACGGAGCCCGACCGGGGCTTGATCCTATGATCCTGGGATCATGACATGAGCTGAAATCAAGAGTCAGACACTTGGGGCGCCTGGGTGACTCAGTCAGTTAACTGTGGGACTTCAGTTCAGGTCATGATCTCATGGTTCCGAGTTTGAGCCCTGCATCGGGCTCTGTGCTGACCACGTAGAGCACCCTTAGGGTCCTCTGTCTCCCTCTCTCTCTTTCTCTCTCTCTCTCTCTGTCCCTCTCCCACTTGTGCTCTTTCTCTCAGAAAGAAATAAACATTAAAAAAAAAAAAAGAGTTGAACACTCAACCAAGCCACCCAGGCACCACCTCTACCCCTGATAATGATAATGATTTCTAATCTCTTTACCCTTATTATTTCCAAGGTTAGTTGTTTCTTAAATGGCATTTTGTTTGTCTTAAAATGCAAATAACCTCAGCTAAATTTTGAAAGCAAAGATTTGCATCCCCCACTTTTCTTACTGTGGTAGATTATGTATATGCACGCCACTCCTCCCACCAGGAGGGGAAGTCTTTTGTCGTGCCCTTGAATCTGAGTCAGCAAGTGACTTGCTTTGGCCAGTAGAATATAACAGAAGAAATGCTGTGTCAATTCTGGCCTGGCCCTTTAGAGGTCTGTCAGCCTCTTCGTCCTCTCTCTTGGAACCCTGAAGCACCACGGAAGAAGCCTTACCTTGCAGCTAGAGAGGCCCAGCTCCCACGAGGCACTGAACATGTGAATAAGGCCATCTTGGAAATTCCAGCCCAAGTAAGTGATCCTAGTTGTCTTAGTCTGTTTGGGATGCTTTAACAGAAATATCGTAGCTTATAAACAACACTTATTTCTCATGGTTCTGGAAGTCCAAGATCATGGTGCTGGCAGGTTTAATGGCTGGTGAAGGCCCTCTTCCTGGTTTAGAGACAGCTATCTTTTTGCTATGTCCTCCTATGATAGAAGCAGGGAGAGAGAGCCCTCCTGGGCTTCTTTTATAAGACACTAATCCTCTTCATGAGGGCTCTGACCTTCTCATCTAATCACCCACAGGTCCCACCTCCTAATAGCATACCACAGGTGTTAGTATTTCAACATGAACTTTGGATGGCCACAAACACACAGACTACAGTACCAGCCTATGCCAAGTGGGACAAAACAACCACTTACCTGATTTAAGACAACCCATAGGGTCATAAAAGGTAATTACCAAACCCAGCTTCTTAACATATCAGAATTACAGGCTTTCTTCTGTATCTGAATATATGCAAATCTCCTTTAAGATTTGCCTTTGGAGGGGCACCTGGGTGGCTCAGCTGGTTAAGTGACCGACTCTTGATTTTGGCTCAGGTCATAACCTCAAATCTAGTCCCTCGTCAGGCTCCTCACTGAGTGTGAAACCTGCCCGGGATTCTTTCTCTCTCCCTTTCTCTCTGCCCCTCCCCTGCTCATGCTCTCTCTCAAAATAAATTAAAAAAAAAAAAAGAAAGAAAAGAAAAGAAGGGAACTCATGGTATTTGTTCAGATAAACAAAGGAAAGTATGACATTGAAGATTTGTAAATGGATCGTGTTTGTTCACGAGGGTAATACACTAAGAATAATTTTTAAATTTTTAACTAAATATGTGAGAAGAGATTTTGTTTTGCTTTGATTTTTGTTTTGGCTTACAGATGGGCTGATTTCTTTATCTTTATAATTTATCACATTCACAGTGGCTGTTTCTAGTGGGTGGGACCAACCCATCCACTAGAAATTCTGCTATACTTATTCTTTTCACTCTGACTTCTTGCTCAGTACCCCTTTTGCTATGGGCCCTTCAAGTTCACTGGATCATTGTCAGTAAGAGGGAGAGGACTCTTTAGAAGACGGACACCGATTTGCTTTCGGGCATGCATCCTCCAAAGATGTCTACAACTAAATATTGGCATTTTGACCAAGACAAGTCCTATCTGAGAAGGAATAATTTCTCACAGAGAATAAAAAGATGTTGTAAGTAACATTGCTCTATTCCAGCTGATTCTGTTTATTATGAACAAATGGGGCAAATTCAGTCACAACTTGCAGGGTATCCATAGTCAGACCAGGTAAGACACAGAATATTTCCTATAATTAACATATGCATAATAGTTTGACATTTGAATACACTGTCTTTTGTAGAATATTTGAGCTTTCAATGTTTAGGACTTTTAGTAAACATTATTTAAAGTAATGATGTCAGTTTTTCAATAATTGTTCCATATGTCATATTTCAGGATTGTCAGAAAAAAGAGGAAAAAGGTTCGGAAACAAACACTAGACACCTGTGTGACAAAAAGCAGGCTAGATCAATTTGGAAATAGGATTCTACTAGGTAAACAATTAAAAAAATAATATATTCACACAGCTCAAAAATTTTTAAATATGAAAAGGTTTTATGGCAAAAACGTCTCCCGACCTGCCCTGCCCCACCCCTCCCCAGACCACTGATATTAGTTTTTTTGTGTTTTCTTACAGAAAGTCTTTATTCATATAAGCAACACAGATATATATCCTTACTTTGGTATTCCTTTTTAAAAAACTTTTTATTGGGGTGCCTGGGTGGCTCAGTTGGTTGGGCATCCAACTTTGGCTCAAGTCATGATTTCACAGTTTATGGGTTTGAGCCCCACATCAGGCTTTGTGCTGACAGCGAAGAGCCTGCTTCAGATTCTCTGTCTCCCTCTCTCTTCCTCTCCACCCCCCCTCCCAATTAAACATTAAAACCTTTTTGTTGAAGCATAACTTATATATAGTAAGTTCTGGCTACTGGAATATTAGCAATACTCCCCTAAGCCCTCCTACTCCCTCCTAATTAGTATCTGTCAAAGATGACATTATTCTGACCTCCATCACTATAAATTAGCTTTGCCTATCAGTCCCATATAAATGGAATAATACAGTATGTACTTTTTTTGTGGATGGCTTCTTTTGCTCAGTGTTACATCTGCAGTTCATCCATGTTGTTGTATATGGCAATATCTTGTTCTTTTTTTCTTTGATATGTTTATTCCATTATATGATTATACCTCAATTTATTTATCCATTCTACTGATAATCATTTGAGTTGTTTCCAGTTTGTGGCTATTATAAATAGTGCTGCTATGAACATTTTTATACGTATCTGTTGATGGATATAGCACTCACTTACATCGGCTATACAGAATGGTTCAGACAAGTCGCAGGTAGATCTCCAAAGTGGTTGTATCAGTTTATACTCCCACAAGCAATGTATGAATCCCTCTTGCTCCCTACCTACAGCAACCCTTAAAAGATCCACCCTTTTAAACAACGTGAAACAAAACTTCCTTATTCATCTTGGGAGGGTGCTAGGGAGCCAACTCATTATCTTTAAAGCTAGTAAATAAAGGTGGGGTGCCTGGGTGGCTCAGTGGGTGAAGTATCTGATTTTGGCTCAGGTTATGATCTCATGGTTCGTGAGTTCAAGCCCTACACTGGGCTCTGCACAGTGCAGAGTCTGCAGAACTGCTTCAGATCCTCTGTCTCCCTCTCTCTTTCTGTCCCTCCTCTGCTTTCTCTCTCTCGAAAATAAACAACAAAAACTAATAAATAAAGGGGAGAAATCAGACCCTTTTCTTTTTTTCTCTTATAATTGCTACCTCGGGATAACGGAACTGAGAGATTTCTTCTCACAAAGGAGTTTCCTATAAGAAATAGAGAATTTGACTAATATCATTTTGCAGGTCCTGATGCATCAATGGATATTGCTGTTAACATCCCACAAAAAAGAGCCAGACACCAAATGTCTCATGATGGAATTACACATCAACACTTAGAAAGCAGTCTTAGTCCAACCCCTTGAAAAATCTCAATTGAACAAGTCTCTAGATCTAACCACCAGTTTACAGGAAACACAAGGGTCAGAGAAACATGTGAAACTACATGGTAGAGGCAATCATCTAAATGCAAGCTATGGAGAAAGTGTAGGAAAATAACCTGGTTTTATCAACAGGAAGAAATAAAGGAAAAACATTTTTTGAGAGAGAGAGAGAGAGAGAGAGAGAGGGAGAGGGGCAGAGGGAGAGAGAGAATCTCAAGCAGACTCCACACCAAGCAAGGGCTCAACACGGGGCTCAACCCCACAAACCTTGATCACTACCAGAGCCAAATTCAAGAGTCAGGTGCTCAACCAACTGAGTCATCCAGGTGCCCCTAGAAATAAAGGAAAAAATTTTTAATGTTTATTTATTTTTGAGAGAGAAAGAGAGAGTATGTGAGCAAGGGAGGGGCAGAGAGAGGGGGACAGAGGATCTGAAGAGGGCTCCATCCTGACAGCAAAGAGCCTGATGCAGGGCTCAAACTCATGAACTGTAAGATTATAACCTGAGCCAAAGTTGGATGCTCAACCGACTGAGCCACCAGGCTCCCCAATAAAGGAAAATTTTAAATGATGTAAAGGGAGACCATGGATCAAAAGAGATTTAAGATAATTATCCAACAAGTACAACACGTGAACTTCATTTACGTCATGATTCAAACTAAAAAAAAAAAAAAAAGAAATTGTAAGGCATTCAGACAAGTGTGAACACTAATTAGACATTTAATATCAAGGAAATGTTGTTAAAACATTCTTTAGGTGTGATAAAGTATTGTAGTTATGTTTGAAAACAATTCTTATATTTTAGAGAAATACACAGGAATATTTACAGATTAAATTAAAACTGGGCTGGTTAAAAAAATTTTTTTAACATTAATTTATTTTTGTGAGAGAGAGCAAGTGAGCAAGGGAGGAGCAGAGAGAGAACGAGGAACAGAATCTGAAGCAGGCTCCAGGTTCTGGGCTGTCAGCGCAAAGCCCGATGTGGGGCTGAAACCCACAAACTGTGAGATCATGACCAGAGCCAAAGTCAGACATGTTTAACCAACTGAGCCTCCTAGGCACCAAAACCTGGGATGGTTTTAAAAATAATCTAAGGGGCGCCTGGGTGGCGCAGTCGGTTAAGCGGCCGACTTCAGCCAGGTCACGATCTCGCGGTCCGTGAGTTCGAGCCCCGCGTCAGGCTCTGGGCCGATGGCTCAGAGCCTGTAGCCTGTTTCCGATTCTGTGTCTCCCTCTCTCTCTGCCCCTCCCCCGTTCATGCTCTGTCTCTCTCTGTCCCAAAAATAAATAAATAAATGTTGAAAAAAAAATTAAAAAAAAAATAATCTGAGTGGAGGAAATGGAAGGTCTGGATGAAATATGATTATCCATATGCTGACAATTGTTGAATCTGGGTGATTCAGACATTAGTATCATTTTTTTCTCTCTGCTTTTGTGTATATTTGAAATTGTACATAATAAAGCTTTTAAAATACCTAAAAAATTGTCCTTACAGTTTTCTCTGCAATAGCAAATATTTGGAAACAAACTAAATGTCCACAATATGAGAACAGCCAAAATAATCAGGGTATATTGAAATAATATAATGGGGTATTGTGAAATAATACAGAGTGTAGTTCTCAAATTTTTGATCTTAGGAACTACACTATTAAAAGTTATTGAAGACCCCAACAGCTTTGTTTATGTTGGTTGTAGTTATTAATATTTGCTGTATTGCATATTAAAGCTGACAAATTAAAAAAATTAACATTTATTTATTTTTGAGAGAGAGAGAGTGAACAGGGGAGTGGCAGAGAGAGAGGGAGACACAGAATCCAAAGCAGTCTCCAGACTCTGAGCCATCAGCACAGAGCCTGATGTGGGGCTTGAACCCATGGACCACAAGATCATGACCTGAGCCGAAGTCGGACGCTCAACACACTGAGCCACCCAGGTGCCCCAAAGCTGACAAATTTTTAAATGTGTACTGATCATTTATTTTTTTTACGTTTGTTTGTTTGTTTGTTTGTTTGTTTTGAGAGAGAGAGAGGGAGGGAGGGAGCAAAGGAGGGACAGAGAGAGGGAGAAAGAGAGAATCCCAAGCAAGCTCTGCACTGTCAGCACAGAGCCCAATGTGGTGCTCAAACTCACAAACCATGAGATCATGACCTAAGCCTAAACTAAAAGTCAAACGCTTAACCAAATGAGCCATCCAGGCACCCCAACATGTGACTAATCATTTAAAAGTACAAATAATACAGGGTGCTTGGGTGGCTTAGTTTGTTAAGTGTCCGACTTCAGCTCAGGTCATGACCTTGTGGTTCAGGAGTTCGAGCCCCGAGTCGCGCTCTGTGCTGACATCTCAGAGCCTGGAGCCTGCTTCAGATTGTGTCTCCTTCTCTCTCTGCCCTTCCCCTATTCACGTTCTGTCTCTCTCTGTCTCTCTCTCTCAAAAATAAACATTTAGAAAATAATAAAAAAATTTAAAAAATACAAATAATAAACCCATAAAAAGTTACTAAGTAGAATGAGACATATGTTTTGCATGTATAGGATGCTTTCAAATGCAATATAAAATGGGAATTAAAAATAGCTTAAAAAAACAAGAGATTTCTCACCTCACATGACAACATGGCTCCTAGGTTGCTTAATTCCAGAGTCTGGTGACATCATCAAGGGTCAAGGTTCTTTCTATCTTTCCACTCTGCCAGCTCTGTGCATCAGCAAGCCTCCTTGTGGTTATGAAAAGACTACCACTGCTCTAGACATCACACAAATGTCACAGGCAGAAAAATGGGACCATCTGGGGTTAGACATAAACATCAAAGAGTGTGGCTTTTGTTTCATGTAAAATACCATAGGCCAAGTTATAGGTTTGACAGTAAGAATGATGTCACTCTCTTCCTAACATTTCCCTTGACTACTAGAAAGGATACCAGCAATTCCACTCAATGCCTCAGGCTAGTAAATATTATCCAAGTGGAATATTAGGATAATAA